CGAGTCAAAATGGAGAGGGGGCATCATGTGCACTTGAGTTTGGCTTAGTTACAAAGAACGTTCCTCTTTCTCTCTCTTTCTTCATCGTCACAGGTTTCACGCTTTTTACACTACAACGGAAAGGAGCATCGTGGGTTTGCGTCTCTTGGGTTGAAGTGTTCTTTTTTTCTTGTTGAAGTATTGTTCAGAGACGTATGAAGGGTGGTGGAGTGGGGGGTTTTTATAGCAGATTCTTGGTATGCAGAGTCGATGAGCTTGGATGCCGAAATGAGAATCGTGAGAGTTTACCTGTTTGGCGTTTTGATGTGCGGGGTATGCTGTGAGTGATGTTGGAGTGAGGATGAAGAGCTATTGCTGGAATCGTTGGGCATGCCATTGGGGAGTACTATACTCTGTTGATCGCACATACCTTGGGTACACGCTGCTCACAACTGTCACCAGGGTCAACGCGGAACATGGTCATTAACAGCGTATTCAACATTTACACAAGCCAGGGCCATTACCGTCTACCCTCAACTCATAGCTAAAGACTACCCATCCTCACCAATCCAGTTCAATCCAATCATTTACATCATCCATCCGTACCCTCTTTAAATACATACATACACGTACACAGCATGTCAAACCGACGTGCACAGAAAGAAAATTGGTATAGAGCGATTAACAAGTGAAAACGCAAAGCAACAACAAAGGCTTTATGCGCGATGAGCCCATTCCGCGAGCTGATTCGCCGAATCAACGGAGTCTTGATTCTTCTCGTGGTGGCTCGTCATGGCCATGCCTGCGCCGTGGCCTTCGAGGGAATGCGTCGACATGCCTTCGTCGATGATGTCGTCGTCGGGGATCTTGACTTCGCGCGTGAGCTCGACGTAGTCGTACTGTATTGCGTGTTAGTGATGTGTTCTTCAGATAATGTGTTTCGATTGGTAGGTTGAACTTACAGCGAACTCGCCGATCTCGACATCGTCGATACCGGCGGCTTCTTCTTCTTCAGTTGCACGCAGTCTGAAGGCGGGGATGAAACGGCCGATGAAATCGAGGGCGCCGAGGATGAGGCAGGTGCCTAGGAAGGAGTAGGCGCCGCCGGTGAAGGAGTCGGCGAGTTGGTAGCCGAGTTGGACCCAGTGGTGGTTGAGCCAGCCGCCTTCAATGACGGTGTAGCCGTCGAGATGCGCTATGTAGTCACTGTGCGGTTGTTAGCAATGGGTCGGTTGGGAATGACGCTGTAGATGACTTACGCAGCGAAGAAGGCCGTGAGGATGTTTCCGATGAAACCACCGACGCCGTGAACCGCAAAGATGTCGAGGGCGTCATCGCAGCGCAGGAAGTACTTGAGCTTAGTCGCGTAGTTGCAAGCAACACCACCGCACACACCGAAAACCACAGCAGCCCAAGCAGGGACGTATCCGGAACCAGGAGTAATGCATACGAGACCAGCAATGACACCAGAGCAGAAGCCAACAGTGGACCACTTGCGTTCGAGACGGTAGTCAACTAGGCACCATGTGATGCCACCGACACAAGCAGCAAGGTTGGTGCATACAGCCGCCATGATAGCGCGAAGGTTGGCAGACAGCGCAGAACCAGCATTGAAACCGAACCAGCCCACCCAGAGGAACACGGTGCCGATGACAATGTGCGTGACGTTGTGGGGACGGTAGTTGAGCTCCTGGGTGCCGTGACCACTTCGCTTTCCGAGCATGTACGAGTAGGCGAGGGCAGCACATCCGGAAGCGATATGGACGGGAGTTCCGCCGGCAAAGTCCAAACCACCCATCTGGAAGACCCATCCGGATGGATTCCAGGTCCAGCACGCAATCGGGTCGTAGATAATAGTCGTCCAGACAAACATGTAGATGATGCAAGGTAGCATGCGTCCTCGCTCGGCCACGGCTCCAACCGCAAGTGCAACACTGCACATCAAGTTAGCATCGACCGGATGATTCCAGTATGTGGTGAACATACGTTATGGCAGCGAACATGCCCTGGTAGACACAGAACATGAGATCGGGAATCCGCGGGCTTCCCACCGAAGGCGCACCCAACACATTCATCAAACCGAAGTTATCCAGCGCGCCAATGTACTTGCCAGCCTTGTGCGAAAAGGCTAGAGAGTAACCCCAGAAGAACCATTGAAAAGAAACGACCGCGGTCGCCATGACTGACAGCCATAGTAGCGAAAGCGCCGACTTTCTTCGTGCCAATCCGGAGTAAAAGAATCTGCAATTCTGTTAGACCCGTATACATGATAATGCATGCGCAGGGAAGAATGGTTTACTGACCCTACACCCGGTATCATGAGAAGCACGAGGGCGGTTGATGTGATCATCCAAGCGATGTCGCCGGGCTAGAAACATGGCAGGTTAGCCCCGCGTTACTCCAAAACCTTAACAAGTTCCCGTAGCCAGGATAACTCACGTTGTAGAACACATTGAGATTGTATAACCTCGAGTCGCCGCCCGTGGCATCTGTGGTATTACCAAACGGCTCCAGAGGGAGTGTGGGGTCCAATCCCGAAGATACTGGATCCATGATGTCGTGTGTCCCCGGGTCCTCGTCGCTCTCTGCGATCTAAATGTTTCCCGTACTTAAATCCGGTATGTATATGTGGTATGCGCAGTTGGAAACGAAAATCCGAAAAGACGTAGGAGGGATCGATATAAAACTCCAGAAGATGGGTTCGTAGAGAAGGGAAGGGATGATGCGCGTGCGCAAGCAAAGTGAGGATTGGACGATCGCTACACGATCAGGGATCTCCAAGACTGCAGTTGACCCTTGGCGTCCGCCCCAGTATCTGCGTAGCTCGAACAAGCCAAAAAGTAAAGGTGTCGCCGCTGGGAGGAGGAACGCGCAAACAAAAGTTGCCTGTGCAAACGGTGCTAAATATGTATTATAGGCGAGGGTGGCTTCGGTGGTGGACACGCTCACGACCGACAATCAATGGAACCGAGGGGTCGGTGGTGGACTATATGGGTATGCGTAAGAAAAAAGAGAGCATCCAAGCTTCAGTTGGCTTCCGTCCGCAGTGGAATAGGCGAAGCCGCTTTGATAATCTCCCAGCAAACCGGCATGAACGTCCCCCTCTCTCCCGAATGCACAAACGCCACGGGCAGTGGGGTGTCTGATAGCTGCTGTTAACGGGTGGGCACTGGGATGGGCAATGGCCGCCCCAAGCCAGGCCCTGTCAGCCAATGTCCGACTACGGGTGCGTCGCTAAGCCAAAATGCAGAACTGCAGGGTGCCGCCCAACTTGGGACGGGGCGGAAACGACGGAGGCCCTTGAGAGGCGCTGGGCCTGTTGCGGCTGTCGAACCACACGTGTGGGATGACCTCAGGGCTGTGTGTGATCGATTGCCGCAAGGCCTGGATGCGATCATTTGGTTCCACCGCCCTGTGGAGCAGCTCGCGGTGATCTTGTGCCACGGTCTGTTATCTCTTTTCTTGATCGACATGGGATGCACTTGTTCGCTTCATCTTGTCAGACTTACCAAGTCCTGGGGTCACATCAGGCAATGCGTCAACTGAGCCCCCTCAGCACAGCTCGCTGCTATCAGCGCAATGATTCGAAAACATTGTTCAGAGCTTGGGAGAGCTGTCGATGCAAGGGTAATGATAACGTGAGGGCGGCTGATAGGCTGCGTTCATGCTTGGAGTTTAGAAACAAGTCCAGGCCATCCCTGGCCTGACATCTTCCGGGGCTGGGCGAGTCCCTTTTCGGTAAGGTGCGCAATTAGCGTAGATATGGCGATCAGAGACTCCATGCAGCATGTCGTTCCCGAGTACGGGATAAGGGATATTGGTGTCTTGAGCTTACGGTTTGTGGTGTGATCACTCTGTTAGAGTTTACAAGTAGTTCATTCCCAAATGTTTCAGACTTCAGTCTCTCCGGATGCCGTCGGAAATGGCCTAGGAATCCCTTATCTCCCCCGTTCTCTTAATCCCACGCCCAGGCCTGCCGGCGACGCTACCCACATCCCGCGACTCCCTCCGCAGCCGCCTCCAACATCCATCAGATGCAACATGCAGGTCCAACGGGGATCCTCATCCCTGGCGTCATCTCACCATATTTATGTCCAAGTCTAGAATAGCATCACACCACGCTGCTGCATTCATTGTTCGCCTCGTCTACCGCAATCGTCTCGCCTGCATTGAGCCATCTTGCTTTTACCTGCGCCATGCGCCGCTATCCCTGAGATTCACCGATAACCGTCGCGGCTGGGTGCAGGCGACGATGCTGCTCAGCCTGAATTATGGACCCTGCCACTGACCTATCTGTGCATTTGACGTGAGTATTCATATATGGCAGTTGGTAGGGTGCGATATGGCTGCAAAATACCGAGATCACGGCTATTGGTGAGTGAGCGACAGGGACAATGAGCTGAGACTGTTGAGATGTGGGTACAAGGCTTCCAATTGATCTCGTCTGGAAGGTTCCTGAGCTTTCATTTGAGGAACTTCTCTAGGCATTGTCGCGGAGATGTTTCCATCTCTTGGTCCTAATTGTGCTGCCATCTAATTGCACCGAGTCTCTCGGATGCCAAATGATCCTCCAATGCTACGGGCTCGGCCGACGCTTTGGCAGCCGAGTAATCAGCAGAACTAATAACGCACGCATGGCTGTTGAAACGTCCGTGTCGACGGCAAAAGGATCATGCCGCCGTGAACTGAACACTGCGTTGAGGGATATCCCCACATAGAATTGCAAGCGCGCGTGGTATCATAGAGCCACTTGCGTAGGCGAGGCTTCGGAGAACAAAGTATGCTGGCACGGTTTCCGATTCGAAGGGGAAGGCTGTCGTACAGCCGTCCTAGTGGCTCAATACGCCTACCGTCAAAGTCTCCACATTCCCCATAAACGTGGGCAAATTTGCGTCTTTCGGTGGAACTAGCCTACGCCACGGGCCGGGGAGTGTAGCAGATATGCATACACGTCCGAGAAAGGTGTAACGCGGTAAATCATGGGATCTGGTGGGATGGATTCCAGATCCGAGATCAGTATCTCAACCATGGAGTGGAGTACCAGATCCTGCAGGAGTGTTTGCCCCTGGTGTTGCAGAATCCGTCCCGGCCTTCTTCTTCTTTTTCTTTTTCCGTGGTATCAATGCCGGCGGGTTCATGACAGCACTGCGCAGCGATAGATAGGAGCCGCACGTCAGGCACAGGTTATCAGGAAGATCCGGGTTGCAGAAGACTGATCGAAATTAGCATTGTGTTGAGTGGGGTGGCATGTTCGATTTGGCTTACTGCTCAAGCACACACTGCAGACAAATCCGATGTCAACAACCCTCCTATGGCAGAAACAAGCCGCACGGAAGTCGACACCGCCGGCGCTAGGGACTATGAGGCTTGTCCGCGCTGTTACATCTGGTAAGAACGCCATCATCAAATACTGTAGCAGGCCCTCCGGGCGGTCCGGCTTCATGTATACGCCTCCAGTCGCATCGCTTGCTTGCTGCAGTAGCACAGTGTCGCCCGCCAGTTTCAAAATATCTATGGGTATTCGCTTTCTTTGTGCGGCAAAAATGGAGTTCATGACGGGTATGTACTGGTTCGCAAGGTCGCCGGATACAGATACAATGAGGATGCGGGATGTGAGGGGCACGCGGTCGACGTGGGTGTTTTCCGAGTCGGCGAGTGCCGCGAGAGATGTGCTCTCGGCGGAAGCGGCCGTGGGAGCATGCAGAATGGTCTGCTTGTTGATGTGGGTAAGGGCCATTGACAGCGCACCGCCGATGAGCGTCGTAGGTGTTGCTTCCAGATGGCCCTCTTTCGTCTCGTTGAGTAGCTTGGCGAAGTTGCGTAGGATAGCACTTTCCACAACTGCGAACGGCCGGTACTTGTTCGCACTCTCTGCCATATGACCTTCCTTGTCTTTTCCATGTCCATTCGTTTGCGCATGCCCGTTTGTATCCCCACCCCGTAGTTGAGGCTGCGGCTCTGCAGGAGTCGGATAGAGAAATGTCGTCTTGTGCGAATGTGAAGCTATCACGGCAACTTCATTGGCGTTTCCCGAGGCCAAGTGCGCGTTGATGAAGACGAGGATGTTGGCTAAGGCGGCCGAGAGTGAGAGGGTCGAAGATAGATGCGCCCAAGCATGCGGGTTGGTATCGAGCACGATCGCCAGCAATGACGGCGGCGGAGCTGGGAAGTATTAGTCATGTCCGTATTAGCTGAGGTATTCCAGCGGCATGCCTTCTTCTGTCTTGACGTGACGGTCGGAACCGTCGATGGTATTCATCGCGCCGAAACGTGCTTCTCTCCACAGGTTCGAGGTGACAACTTCCTGTTCAAGGGCGGCACATGGTTCAGGAAAGCGAACAAATCCTGCTCAAAAGGCCCAACTTGTTGGTGTAGAGGGTCTAGCCGTTGCTAAATTCAGTTGATGAGGTCAACTCGGAAGTTCGCGACCGCCTAACATTATGCGCCCGTGCGCTAGCCGCGTTACCACGTGAGAGCGTTACACCTGGGCAGGCAAGACCTCCTACTTGCCTAGGTAGTTACTCAGCACCGGTACCTACCTTGAATACAGCCTAAGTAGATACATTGTCCGAGGGAGCGATCATCAGGCTTGTTCTATAAGATGGGTCTTTTCATTGGTGAGATGTCAGCCAGCGGCGCAGTCATAGACTTGTGGCTTGCATGACCCATATATTGTTCAGCCTCATTGCCTACATAAACACCATAACCTCCTGCTTCGTCTGAAATCTAGTGATGTGTTGTGTTCGCCAAACTACAATGGTCATAGCAAAATTCCCTCATTCATGACTCGAGAGCGCTGCTATCCATCCTTGAGAGGATCCATAGGCATCAATTCGCTGACCTATCGGCCATGCAACCTTCCAGAAAGAGACGGAATTGAGTTTCCGCTCATGTTGGAGTTGGCCCATGAACATGTCGATTCGTCAGTCCCAGGACGAATCGCGGAATACCAAGGTCGCCGACATGTCCGTCGTTACATGACGTGCCATCTCGCAAAGCTAACGCGTCTACGCCAATCTACCGAGGCTCAGGAGATAGTTTCGCCCCACGCGATGCACTATGGAGGACGAACATCCCGTCCATTGGCAAGATGATTCTCCATCAGGAGACTGCTGTCATGTCACCCTCATCTTCACGTGCGATCGACTCTCCGAGGTCTTCACCAGCTCGACCATCGAACAAGGCCCCCGGCTAAAGTTTAATCTCGACGAAGCTGTCGTCGAATTCATAATCACGCCTCGGTCGCTGCGTTGGAGCTCAAAGCGAACCTTGGACCGTCTGCGTATACAGCCTCTCAGCAATTCGACTGCTTGCGAAGATGATCACCGAATCGATACGGCGTGTTAATGGTTACGAGAAGGATGCCTACACATATTACCCCGTCATCATTGTCGGTGCAGGCGCATCTGGCATTGCTATGGCCTGCCAGCTGAAGCAGCAACTTGGATTCGATCAATTTCGCGTATTCGATCGGCAAGCAGGCATCGGAGGAACCTGGTGGATCAATCGGTACCCCGGTGTCGCTTGGTAAGTCCGCGATCTCCCCGAAGACATGCAGGTGGTCACAACCAGGGCCTCTGCATTCAGCCGCCACCGTGCCACAAACACAAGTCTAACAGCCACACAGCGATATACCCGCCGTCTTCTACTCCTTCAGCTTCGCCCAAAACCCCAGCTGGTCCTCGTTCCACCCGCCTGGCAAAGAAATCGTACGCTACTACCACGAAGTATGCGAGAAATACCGCATCACGGACAAATTCGAGCTCAACACGGATATTGAAAGTTGCAAATGGCTAGAAGACGAGCAGCTATGGCAGGTCACTCTCCGTCGCATGGTCTCAGGCATGGGCGACCTCTCAGCAAAGGATCGCATGAAGATCGCGCAAGAAAAAGGCGAGCATGCCGTATACTCTGAGACAGAGGTTGTGAAAGCCAAGGTTGTGCTTAGCTGTGTCGGAGGACTGGTCGAACCCAGGGGCTGGCCTGACGAAATCAAGGGCATCGAGAACTTCAAGGGCAAGATGTTCCATTCGGCGAGGTGGGATGAAAGCGTCGACTTCACAGACAAGAACGTCGTCGTTGTTGGCACTGGATGCAGCAGCGCGCAACTCGTTCCTCCTCTACCCCATGCGCCTTACAACGCCAAAAAGGTCACTCAATTGATGAGATCGCCACCATGGGTAACACCTGCTGTCCATGCGCCCGGTGGTGACGAGTGGTGGGAGAAGAATGGCCCCAAGCTGATGAAGAACGTACCGGGCCTCAAAGAGCTGTTGCGTTTCATCATCTTCGCCACGGCAGAATCAGGCTTCCTCAAGATCTTCCCCAACACACCATACGCTAACAAACAGCGAAAACTCTACGAAGAGAAGGTCCTCCAGAACATGCGCAAACGCACTCCAGAGAAGTACTGGGAGATCCTGACACCAGACTACGGCGTGGGTTGCAAACGACGCATCTTCGACAAGCGATGGCTCCGCAGCCTGAACGACCCAAAGATTGAACTGACCACCCAACCGATGAACAGAGTCACAGAGCATGGCGTTGTCATCGGCCCCGGCGCGACATATCCAATGGACGCGAAGGAAGAAGATTACCCCGAGCGAGAAATCCCCGCCGATGTCATCGTCCTAGCCAACGGCTTCGACACAACGCGCTGGCTCCACCCCCTCAAAGTAATTGGCAAAGGCGGAAAAGACCTAGTCCAAGTAATGGAAGAACGAGGAGGCGCTCAAGCCTACCAAGGCACAGCCGTCGACGGCTTCCCCAATTTCATGATGATCTTCGGTCCCAACACTGCAACTGGGCATTCTAGCGTCGTCATGGCAAGCGAAAGTACGTTTAAGCCCTCTCCACTAACACTCACCATCCATCTACACCGAAGAACCTTTACTAACACAAACCCCAGACATGGTCAACTACTCCCTAAACTTCATCCGCCTCCTCCTCCACAACGAAGCCCGCACAATCGACATCAAGCACTCCGCCGAAGTCGCCTACACTGCCGAAATGCAGCGCGCCCTCAAAAACACCGTCTGGCAGAGCGGCTGCTCAAGCTGGTATTTCACCGGCGACGGCTGGAACTCGACTGTGTATCCTTATACCCAGATTGACTTTTGGCGGAGGTGTACGTTTGTCAAGTGGAACGATTGGAATATAGAGTATACGCGCAAGGGCATTGCGAGGATGAGGGCGAGGAGGCTGGTTAGGGCGTTGGCGGTTGTGTTGGCTGTTGGGGGCGCGTGGAGGTTTTGGCGGAGTGGGTTGGGGGTTAGGGATGTTGGGACGCTGGTGAGAGGTGTTTTGGAGGAGGCCGTTAAAAATATGAGGGAGGTAGGGGATATGGTTAAAAAGGTTGCTCTGGCTTGATGCGGTGGTGTATTCTCTGTTCCTAATAATATTAAATCTCTAGTGACAGCCTGAAATAAAGATGAGACGATTAATCCAGCTTCAAGACTCCTCGTCGTCAGTAGAAAATGCCTCGCCAGTAGCTTCCAGCCGCATGTCCTTCAGCATCTGTCTACACACAATTTCGAATTCCTTGCCACGCGCAACTCGACCATCAAACGCGTCAGTAAACACAAGTTTTTCTTCAGCGCAGGACCAGCCATGATCTTCAATAGCCCCAGCCCACATCCAAAACCCATCTGCACAGACAATGTGAACCTCCTCCACATTGATAAACTCCTTGAGTCGCCGTGATTCTGTATGGTAGAAGTATTCGCACCCATTCTCTCGCTCAAACTTGAGGCGCTTGATTGCTGGTGCGATAGCTTTGTACTTGGAGAAATAAGAAGCCCCAATATCCAGCATATCGATGTCGAAATCCAACCAGACGTAGCGCTGCTCCGTCTTGGGGCAGCCTACCTTCTCAGGCTCCTTTTCTCCCTGCTCCTCATCTGGCATGAAGAAGTCCTTGATCAGCATCTCGGGCGCGTGATCGTTTTTAAATTTCTTTACTGCAGCAACCTCGAAGTAGACTCGTTCGTACAATCCAAGATTTCGCGCTTCTCGGCAGGACTGTAGTATGGCTGGTATGGGGGTAGACGAGACTAGCTGGTTGTACTCTCGAGTGCGCCGCACGTCGACTGTGCGCGGTTCAACAGTGTCCTTCCAGATTTGCTCTCGCAGTTCCAGAGGAAGCCGCGGGAATGGATGGAATGTAGTCATTGTGTAGGACGGTGATGTACAGATCTTTGAGCGCAGCCAGCGCGAAATCCTTCTGCCCAGAATCAGGCAACCGTGGCATCACGGGACTAGCACTCATGGCTTAGCTGCCCTCGATACCACTTAACGCATAACTGTTCTTTACATATCGAACAACTTGAAAGACACCTGGTGTAGGATGGCGATTGATTACCCTAACGCTATCGCTATCGCTAGTAGATCTGTGGATGGTTTGGAGAGAGTGCCCAGGTGGTATTGCCCGTCTGTTACCAGTAAACTAGACTGCTGCACATACACATTTATCAATTCAAGAACACCAGCAAAACTACTATTGTACAGATACTATTGTATGCCGCATCATCCCGACACCACAAACGTCACTCCGATATCCGATCCCCGGACTTTCTTCCGGACAACGAGAACCTGGGGTCTAGCTCCAAGCCTTCGCGAATAGATGCCTTCCGACGCGCCATTATAGTCTACCACATCCGATTACCACGACTAGTGAACGGTAAATTCTGGACCGGACTAGACTCCGCTGGTCTTCTGGATGTAGACGTGGTGTGCCATTGTGCATTAGACATGCATATCAAACGGTATGTGTGTGCCGAGCTAATCATTGTATAAGCATCGTGATTCACAGTCACCTGCATGGCCAGCAAAGCTTGAAATGAGAGATCATGTGTATATTTTATTTCATAACGTCATACT